TAGTAGGGACAGTCTTACTGAAGTGTTTATAAAGCGTCTAATGCAATGGCCAATGATAGGCTCCATCCCTGCACACACACCCTTGTGGCAATTTCTGTCTTTGCAGGCCATTTGCCCTCTTTTCCCTCTTAGGTCTAGCAGTGATTTCCTATCAAACCAGAGTTCTTAGACAAATATTCTCCCTCTGTGGGGCTTATTGTGTCCCTCTGCTTCCCTTATCAAATTTCTACAATTCCTAATTTCTGATTTATATTCATTACTATCAACTTCCCCCTTCTTCCATTTGTTATGTATTATTTTTTATAGCTTCTTTCACTTCCCCTCTATACCAGGTCCAGTTATTTTTTTAATCAGTATGGCCTCCTTGAGTGTGGGATTGTGTTGGTTTTTTTTTTTTTAGCATCTAGGAAGGTGTTCTTAAATGATTCCCAATTATCCTTCACATTTTTCTGATTAAATTCTTCCTCCCAGCTGATCTGGCTCATAGTTGTTTTCAGCTTTGAGAAATTGGATGCTTGTAAAGTTCCATGGAGATCAAAAGTACTATATAAATCATAATGGCATTGTTTGTGAGCAGTAAAAAGTATCTGTGACCTTGAAGCATTGTAAAGTAAATCTTGCAACAAATACTGAATGTACCAATCTTAGCTCCACAAGAGCGTAGGCTGCAAGCAGACGGCATGCTGAGTGGTGCCTTCTGCTAAAGGGCTTGAAAAATAAGAGAATATGTTCAGATGCTTTGACAAAAATCAGTCTAATAGTTGTAGAATATTCTTTTGGTAAGGTTTGGTTATGGTAGCTAAAATATAAATGATAATTCTTGTGTGTGGGGAGAAGAGATGGTAGCATTCAGATGCAGAGTCTTACAACTTAAGACAGTATTTGGTCCTGCCATGCGGGCAGGGGACTGGACTCGATGACCTCTCGAGGTCCCTTCCAGTCCTAGAATCTATGAATCTATGAATAAGGTCACAATCTCAAGTGTGGAACAGGGCCATTATGAATGAAAGGTGTTAAGGTGACTGACTGGAGTGCAGGTGTGTGTGTGTCAGTAGTGACTCTGGTCTCTGATTAAGTTACTATTAGCCAAATTACTACTTTTTAAAAGCTTCATAATTGACACTGTTACCAACTATCAATTTAAGTTAGCCTTTCCCCTGAAAAAAAATATCCTTATTTCATGCGGTGTTTGCTTCAAAATAGGATTAAGACAGAGTGGTACAAGGAAGCTAGTGATGTAAGGTTACCTGTACAACCTTAATTCAGCCTCCTTGTGTGTATACATTATGATAGTCTTTAATTCCGTGATTACATCTTATTTTTTCTATAGGACCTTTGACTTATTCGGTGCACAGAATGGATAGTACTCACAGGAAATTCCCATATCTGTTACAATGAGCACCATGGAAAAGCCCATGAGGAAATTAATAATTCTAACGGATATGGGAATATCCTGCAATGTCTTCGGAAAATCTCATTGCACTAAATGTATGTATTATTATGTGCTGGGATTGTATGTAACCTCTAGGGGAGAGATGTGATGTGAGACCTGGGAGTTCAAAAGATTATATTGTAAATGTGCCAGACAAGTATGGATTTATGGGATAAGTGTGAAGTGGATCTCCTGGGGAATCCCTAGGGAGAGGTGAATGCAAATTACCCAGCTCCAGTTATGCAAACACCCAGCCTTTGAAGCTACTGAGTGAGGAGAGGGTCTTTGTCTGGTGATTACCTGTTACACAAGGCCAAGATCAAAGCTATATCAAGAAACAGGTTATGTCTTTGTTCTGCTCTGGATCTAAGACAAAGACATATTTGTAACACAGAGAAAACCCAATTGTGGGTTTTGAAGGATTAAAACCTACCAGCACAGGCGCGGACTTTCCAATGTGCTGGGGGGGTGCTCGACCCCTGGCTCTGCCCGAGGCCCTGCCCCCACTCCACTCCTTCCGCCAAGGCCCCACCCCTGCCCTGCCTTTTCCTACCCAGTTCCGCCCCCTTCCCCAAGCACGCTGCGTCCTTGGTCCTTTCCCCCTCCCCTTTAGCGCCTCCTGCGTGCCGCAAAACAGCTGATTGTGGCAGGTGGGAGGCGTGGGGAGGGAGGGGAAAGTGCTGATTTGCAGGGCCTGCCGGCGGGCGGGAGGCACTGGGAGGTCGGGGGGCAGTTGATGGGAGGCTGCTGGTGGGTGCTCAGCATCCACCATTTTTTCCCCATGGGTGCTCCAGCCCCAGAGCAACCATGCCTACCAGAACCCTAGGTTGGAGCTGAGGGTGACCTCTGGCAAGCTTTTTAACATGTATGTAAGAACTTTTATTGTTCTAAAATGTTTTCTCTGTAATGGTTTTACCATAAGAATAAACACACTTACTTAGAAGGAGCTGTGTGGTAACTTATAATTGCAGGCAATACACTGGTCACAGCCTTTGGAGAGGAAGCACAGCTTGCTGGGGATAACATATGGTAAGGCAGGCAACTGTGCAGCCCTAAAACCCCTGGTCAGGATGTAGGGAGATGTGGGTCTCCACCCAGAAGAGGTGGACCCAGAAACCTTTAAGTGGGTGCCCTTCAGAGACTATGGTGGGAGAAATCCAGGTGCAGTTGCTCTGAAACTGTGACATTCATCACTATAGTATCTGAGTGTTTCATAAACATTAATTATTTTTCTTAATAACACTCCTTTGAGATGACAGGCTATTATTATTCTAATTTTACAAATAAGGATCTGAGGCAAGGAGAGATTAAGATCCAAAGTGTCCACTTATTTTGGGTACCAAATTTGAGTCACTTAGTGCCTGATTTTTCATGTAGCATTGATATAGGCAGAGCACAACTCCTGTTGACTTCAATTGCAGCTGTAAATAGAGAAGAATGGTGAGAGTTAGGAATCTTGGGTTCCATGGCCGATTCTGGATGGCAGTGTGCCCTTGTGTTCACAGACTTTTTGCCTCTGTCCCTCCAGCCAACCGTTGTTCCAGGTTTGTCCATCCCTCTTGTTTCCCTCACCCTAGTCTCCTCCACATGCTGGCTAAGGCCTAGTCCTAGTCTCCTCATCCAGCCAGTCCTAGTCTCCTCATCCAGCCAATCCTAATCTCCACCCTCCCCTCTCCTCATCACAGTCTCCTTGTCCAAGGATAGGGATAGTATGTGATCATGTAATTCAGAGGTTCTCAAAGTGTGGTCTGCGAGCTCCATTCAGGTGGTCCGTGGATATTTCCCTCTAAGCTGCAAGCCTGGGTGATACCACACAAGAGAATGAAGGGCCACCCACCTAATTAGTGGAGCCGTGCAGGCGTGTCTCCACTAATTAGGTGCCTGGACCGTGGAGAAGATACACTTGTAAGGTGAGGTGGTGGCCTTGGGGGGGAATAGGGGGCAGTGGGGTGAGAAGAGGGGGTGGAGGAAATTTGGGATGTGCAGGGCTGCGGCGACTTTCCCCAGCTCCAGGGCTGTTGCTGCCAGGGAGAGACAGCCCTCCTTCCCAGCCTCAGCTCTGTGGCTGCTATGGTGTGGGAGAGAGGGAGAGACTCCCCTCCTTCCCAGCCCCAGCTCAGGGGCTGCTGCAGCAGGGCAGAGAGGGCACATCCATCGCATTAGAAAGGTAAGACTACTGATATTAAAATATGAGTTGTGTGCTTTTATTTGTAGAAGAAAAAATGTTTATTATAAAAAAAAAATTATATCGTGCTTTTATTCAAAGTGTTTTATAATAGTTAGCTAATGATATAAACAACATTTGGAAAGATCATTAAGTGGTCTGCTGAGACCCAGCAATTTTCAAGTGGTCCATGAAAAAAAAGTTTGAGGACCACTGAATTGAAGCCTGTATCATAAGGGATTCACATAGGGTTGCCAGGTGTCCAGTTTTCAACCGAATGTCCGGTTGAAAAGGGGTTGTAGTGGCTTGGCTCAGCACTGCTGCCTGGGCAGTTAAAAGTCCTATCTCATAGAGCTGGAAGGGACCCTGAAAGGTCATTGAGTCCAGCCCCCAGGACCAAGTACTGATTTTGCCCCAGATCTGTAAGTGGCCCCCTCAAAGATTGAGCTCACAACCCTGGGTTTAGCAGGCCAATGCTCAAACCACTGAGCTATCCCTCACCCCTTCTGCTCTGTGGTGCTGCAGGGCTAAGGCAGACTAGTCCCTATCTGTCCTGGCACCGTGCTGTGCCCTGGAAGCGGCCAGCAAGTCTGGCTTCTTGGCGCGGGGGTGGGGGGGCTCCACGCACTGCCCCCACCCCAAGCACTGGCTTCACACTCCCATTGGCTGGGAGCAGGGATGAGGCCTCCAGGGAAGGGCCGGGGCTAGGGTGTTTGGTTTTGTGCCATTAGAAAGTTGGCAATCTTATATTCACACAAGGGGAACAAAATAAGGGTCCACAGCCAACCTTAATTCTGGCAATTCCTAACATCTGGGTGCTTTGTTTTTGCAACTTGAATAGTCCTTTAACGTAGGTTTTGGTGTATAATTTATACTGAAATTGTTGAATCTAAGGAGGTGGGACAAGAACTGAGGGCTTCTTTTCACACAAAACTTGCACCTACATTTTGCCCACTGAGGTAGCGAAACCGGTGCTGACTGCAGTGTGGACATACTGAAATCAGTTTGAGCGTGTGTGTGTCACTAAACCGATTAATGCATTTTAACTAAATGGGTGTGAGATCTGTGCGGGGACCCGCCTGGCGTCAGCTACCAGCCAGCAGCAAATTTGGACCTGAAGGATGATTTTGCTCATGGATTCCAGCCGTTCAGCTTCCTGGCTCTGCAGCGCCTCCTATGCCCTGTGGGCGGGGTGGGGCTGGATCTCTGGACGCCGCCTTGCACCATGCCGCAGGAGGCTCTCGAGAAACTCACCCCCAGCAGCCAAGACGCCCCACAGGAGGGAAGTGGAGGATTCTGCGCAGGCGCAGAAAGGAATTTCCAAGGAATGGCCGCAGCCTCTGTCGGGCCAAGGAGAACTAGGCTCTGCGCATGCGCGGAGAAACCCGAGCGAGTCCCGTGAAAACGCAAACAAGCAGCGAAGCGGTGGTGGGTGTTGCTCTGTGCGGGGCCGCCGTCCCGGAGCCAGCGGGGGAGGGGCGCCTATGAGGTGAGCGAGGCGCCCCCGGAGGGGGCGCGGTTTAGGCTCCTAGGGGGACACAGGAGGCGGGATCCGGTCCCTTGCCCTGAGGCACGGCGAAGAAGCCCATCACGGAGTCGCGCCGCGTCCGTGGGGCCGGGCAGCCTCTTCGGGGCGGCGGGGTCAGTACCCCCCCAGCAGAGTGAGGAGACGGGAGTTCGGCCCCCCCTTCCGCCCGGGATGAGGAGGGTATTGGGGGGGCAGGGTTAGTTCCTGGCGTGATCGGGGTATGGGGGAGGGTGGCTTATTTCCCCCCTCTCCCGTGATGAGGGGTCCCTGGAATCTGGTGGTGGAGGATTTGGGGGCGAGGCTCTTCGCAAACCACTGTGCTTCTGTTGTTGGACTTTCAAAAGGCCCTGGAAAGCTGTCCCAGTTGGTGGGCGCCCCTGAGATTCATTGCCCCTCTCTGGTGTGTGTTAAACAGCCGCTTTCCATTCCCAAGCCCTCCCACCCTGCCCCACAGCTCTTCCTTCCTCCTTTGTGGAGGCCCTTGAATGTTCCCAGTACAGGGAGACCCCTGACTGCTGCAGGATCACAGTATAATGTTTCCTGCTCTTTCTTCTTTCTGTCCCCTCTGAGTCTCAGCTGGCTTCTCTTTCATACTGTATTTAGAAACTAACTTTCTGTCCAGTGAGGGTGTAAAGTGACTGATCTCTGAACATATTTAACTTCTTTTGGCTGTTCCCATTTCAACCTGAAAGCCTTTTGCAGAGCATGAATAGTTTCTTCTAGTCTCTGCCACCGTATTTCTTATAGTTTAGTATCAAAGACTTATGAGTAGTCATGGAAATCATTATCTGTATAGCTTGCTAGATGTGCAAGATATTTTATGAATTGGAAAGAGAAATTTTAGAAATGTAGAAAGAAACTTTCTGCCATAAGGAATTTACTATCTAATCTAGGCAGATATGATGTAAATTATTACATCCTTTGAAAATCTGTGGGTGGGGTGGAATAAAATGTGTTGACAAACTTAACACCACCCTTAAATATTGGCAACTGGTACTTTGTTTGCAAATTGGTATTGTGGAGACCAGCTATTTTTTTTAGACATCTTTAACTTGGATTGAAGCAATTTGCACTCCACAGGCACTGTGTAATAGGTGATTACTCTCAAGAAGTCAGGTTATTGAATTGTGCCAACTGCCATACCATAGAAAGCAGAACATTGTTTTCAGTTGCTTTATTGGAGAAGTATAAACTGATGTTTTGCTTTATTTTGATTGATTTGCTCAAAATAGACTAGTGCAGAGGTAGGCAATCTATGGCACGCATGCCGAAGGTGGAATGATAGCTGATTTTCAGTGTCACTCACACTGCCCGGGTCCTGGCCACCGGTCCGGAGGACTCTGCATTTTAATTTAATTTTAAATGAAGCTTCTTAAACATTTTAAAAACCTTATTTACTTTACATACAACAATAGTTTAGTGTTATATATTATAGACTTATAGAAAGACGCTTTCTAAAAACGTTAAAGTGTATTACCGGCACGCAAAACCTTAAATTAGAGTGAATAAATGAAGACTCGCCACTTCTGAAAGGTTGCCGACCCCTGGACCAGTGAGTACAATTGACCAACAACTGAATGATTTAATTAACAATGTATATGTAAAGCAGCCTTAGCTTGTGGAGCACTTGAGTGGCACAGGTATTTTTTTTAGTCTATAAAAATCATGCTATGTTTTAGTCATGGGTATTTTTAGTAAAAGTCTAGGACAAAAATTCACAGCCCGTGACCTGTCCATGACTTGTACTATATACCCCTAACTAAAACTTGGGCGGGGGGCCGCAGGTGCTCTGGGGGGGCAGTCTGGGGGCGCCGTATGTGCTAGGTGTGCGGCCTGGGACCCCTTGGGGGAGGGGCAGCGGTGCATGGCTGGAGATTCCTGCTGGCACTGAGGGGGGAGGGCTGGCAGGCTCCCTACCTGGCTTTGCGTGTCCCTGCAACTCTTAAGGGGAGGGAAGGCCAGGGAGGCTCCGGGCGCTGCCCTCACCACAAGGTCTGGCTCCGCATCTCCCATTGGCCAGGAATCGCACGCAGCCAATGGGAGCTGCGAGGGTGGTGCCTGCAAGCAGGGATAGCGGGCGCAGGGCACCCTGATCCCTCTGCCTAGGTCAGGAGCTGTAGGGACATGCTGGCCACTCCCTCCCCCAGGTAAGTGCTGCCCCACACCTCAGCCCTGAACCCCCTCCTATACCCGAATTGCTGCTGCTGCTGAGTGTTCGGGCAGCCCCTGAGCCAGCTGCACTGGCCGTTGCAAAAGTCAGAGGTTACGGAAAGTCATGGAATCCGTGACTTTCGTGGCAGACACACAGCCTTACTTAACATACACATATCTTAATTCCTGAAGCTGATTCTTAATAGTGTATTATTTTAGAAGAATGAATATTGCAGTTAAAGGTTCCCAACAGCGTCTAAAATTGCCTAGGTATTAGCTTCTAGGGTTGGATCATTTAGAAGTTTTCTAATAGAAAATTGTTATACATGATAGTCGGTAGTCCTATTTTATCACAAAAGACAGGAATCAGCAACAGCAGGAGAAACACTTAGCTGTTAGATTGTTTGAGGAAAAGTTGTTGGTCATCTTTCAGAATTGTTGAAATAATGGTACCTCTATGACTTGTTTTCTAAAGCTGAGTAATGAAAGCTGATGCAGATAGGAATATTGGAGCAATAGACACAGTCAGTAAGAGACTTAATTATTGTTTTGTCAGGAAAATGCATTCTTCAATTATTGAACTGGCTGTTGATGGCCCAGCTGTTCTGCTGGGGTCCTGGAACAATGATAACAAAAACAAGTGATCTGCCTTGGATGGTTGACTTCTTTCCACTGCGTTGCTCACGTCATACTATTTTCCGTACTGTATATTCAAAAGACTGTTTCACAAATTATTTGGTGTTGGGGTGGGTGAGAATAGAAAAGTGGCCAGGCTGCAGCTGCGCTGCTGTAGGATAGACAGTCACTGCAGGGATGGAATGGGTTTTTCTGTCACTGTAGTAAATCCACCCACTTGAGCGGTGATAGTTAGGTTGATGGAAATTCTTCCATCAATTTAGTGGTATTTGCACTGGAAATTAGGTCAGCTTAACTGCATCATTTAGGCTTGGTCTACACTTACCCCCCAAGTCGAAGTAAGGTACGCAAATTCAGCTACGTGAATAACGTAGCTGAATTCGACATACCTTACTTCGAACTTACCGCGGTTCAGACGCGGTCCACATGCGGCAGGCAGGCTCCCCGTTGACTCCGCGGTACTCCTCTCGTTGAGCTGGAGTACCGCAGTCGACGGCGAGCACTTCCTGGTTCGATTTATCGCGTCCAGACCAGACGCGATAAATCGAACCAGGAAGTTCGATCCCCAGCCGCCGAACTAGCGCGGTAGTGTAGACCTGGCCTTAGGAGTGTGAATATTTCACACCTCTGAGTGACATAGCTAGGTTAACTTAAGTTTTAGGTGTAGACCAGGCCTCAGGCATTATATTCCTGGGGTCATTTCTCTTACCATATAATAAGTACTAAGAGGCCAAAGATGTCAGGTTATTTTATCTCAGGAACTATAATATTTTGTATAATTTGAGTTAAATCTTTGTCAGTGGAATTTGTACACTCTAGTTTAAGTATGAAGCAACATTACTTCCAAGCAAGGCCATATTCCTACAGTTAATAGTGTTCATATGTCTTGCTTTCTGTATGTTTGAAAACTCTTCCACAACGTGTACCTCTTTTTCTTAACTTCCTGACCCAACTATTAACTTTGCAGAGGAAGTAAGCACCAAACCTGTTGGTATAGGTAATATCTTGTACTGCTCAACAAGGAGTGCTGTAGCCAGTGGTTAATAACACATTCTGAAGATTTTGTAGTAGTAAACAGACAGTAGTGAATTAGACCACCTCTTGTGAGATAAATAGCAGTATTGATGAACTCCAAAGGTAGGTGACAAACAGAACTTTGTGCACCTCCATGCTTGAAGTCCTGCAAGTCCTACTGAAGTGTGGGAATACTGGAGAACAGGTGATCATTAGGGACTTGTAGGGACTCTTTGGGGTAGGAGAAAAATAGCCCAACCCTGATACCATTCTTGGCATCTTATTTTTATTGCACCATAAAAATTAGTGAAGAAAGGTTAAAAAGGATCTGGTCTAAACACAGAGTTGGACTGGTTTAACGATATGATGTTGCACAGATTTAGAGAACTATCTTATTGTAAAATTATTGTTGAGACAGAGCACAATTACCTCTTCTCTCCATGCCTTGTCTCCTCTAGGATTTTTATATCCAGATAGCTATCTTGATGTTAAAACCACACTTTTTGCAGTGAAGACATAGTGTTTGTATATGGACACTCTTGCATCTGTTTAAACCTGGCTTACAACTGAGTTAGCATACTCTTTTAAATAATGTAGTTCTTGATCCTGCAGTTGGATCAGTAGGGTAGGCCGTTGTTTCAGTAGGGTTTCATATTTTCACAAGCCAGTGGAGTCTGCAAAGATCTGTCTCTGGATTAGGACCATAGTGCAATTTCCCCCCCCCCCCCCCCCCCCCCGGTCTTCATAAACATTAGCTACTATTAAACACTAAAATATTATTTTGGTCTCTAGTTCAAGTGGATAGATATTTTTGTAATTTTGACCTATGACTAGTCTATACGTTTACAAAACTCAAAATGAAGGTGGGTCTTTGCCCCCGCAAACATTTCTTTTTTTTTTTTTTTTTTAAACAAAGGGCTGGACTAGGAAGCCCATAAGAGAGGCTACCTTCTGAAAACTGAAATGTTATCTATGTGCGTGTCTTCTATAAAATATAAAATCAGTAATTAGAATTTAAAGTTGCTGTTTAAAGCTGTTTTTCAAGTGTTCTCATATACTATATACTTCAGATGAATGCAACCCTGTGTACAGAGTATGAGTTCCTCACATTTCAGCTTGAACTGGGTAAAACGCCTGCTAATATTTCTTTATATAATCTT